TCCGGTTTCCTCCCACAGTCCAAAGATGTGCAGGCGAGGTGGATTGGCCGTGCTAAATTGCCCAGAGTGCCCAGGGATGTTTAGGTTCAGTGGGTTAGACATGGGAAATGGAGGGGAATGGGTGTGGGTGGGATGCTGTTCAGAGGGGCAGTGTGGACTTGTTGGGGTGAATGGCCTGTTTCCACACTGTAGGGATTCTATGATAACAACAGTGACTTCTGAAGTAGACTGTTGGCTGTTCACGGTCTAGTGACACAGTCAACAGGAAGCTGCCACCAGTGGGAGAAAAGGATGAAACTGGGGGATTGGTCAATGCAACAAGGTAGAGGATGCTGCAGGGATGTAGTTTTGGAGCCAACTCAATGCAGTGAGCTTAATGGAGTAACACAGTCCCTGCCTCATGCTTCCAGCTCCAGAACATGACGACGAAACAGCACAATCCACGTGCTGTGGATAACACAGTGTGGAGCTGGAGGAACACAGCAGTCCAGGCAGCATCAGAGGAGCAGGAAAGTTAACGTTTTGGGTCGGGACCCTTCCCTGTGCTGTGCAACCTACTGTCTGCCAAATTAGCAACGCAGCATTGTCATGTTTGGTGTGAGAGGCCAGATACCAACACAGAAGATTGAACAACCTAAAGCAGGCAAGGACAATTCACAGCTCACAGCAGAAGGTGAAAGTCATTTAGCTGGAGCTTTACACTCTCCTCAATGTAATTGCTCAGTCTGAGACAAAGGCAAGGACAGGTTCCATCAGACAACAGCTGAGTTTTAAGGGGTTACTTTCACACCTTGATGGTGGTGAGTACACAGAGGCTGATATCAACTGCACACATCAGTTCATGAGCTGAACGTGAAGAGAGTCCATTCATCTTCGGAGTGATTTCAAATTGTAGCCTGCTGTCAGTTTAGTACCTCTCCTGCAGGGTGAGCTTGTCAAACAGGTACCATTCTCAGGGGCTCCCAGTCTCTTCAGGTTGCTGATGTGATCTCCCAGCTCCTCGATCATCTTCATTTGCTCATTCAAGTAGTGAGACACCAGGAAGTCACAGAGAGGAGGGTCCATGTTGCCAGAGGAGAGTTTGTGCAGATCCAGTAGACTCTGGTTCACATCCTTCTCCAGCTGTAGAGCTCTCTGCATTGCCTCCAGGCCAATCCTCCACTGCTCCTGCTCTGGCTTCTTGGTGTCCTGCAGGAGGACTTGGCCTCCACAACTATTCTGGAATTCCATCGGTTTCATGCCTTGGGTAAATTGACTGGGAGTAATGCTTCTTATTGGGGCTTATCTAAGTGACTGGGGCCACGTGGGAAGGTCAGCCACACAGCTCTGTAGCAGAAGACAGGCTTAACATCGATCAACAGGACAGGATGGTTACATTGGGCTTAATGGCTAGTTACATTGCATCTGAGATACACAAAGAGTCCTTTGTAAGACCTCAATGTGTACTTACCCTGACGTACAGCCTGAAGCATTATGGTCCACAACTTAGAGGCAACTGACAACTGGTTAGCTCCACCCAGGGGCAGTCCCTTAAATACAGATGAACAGAGCCTGAGAGATATCAGTTTACAGAATTGTTAGGGTGCTGAAGGCCATCCTGCCCATTGTGCCTGCACTGGCTCGCTGAGCATTTTGACTTTAAAGCAATCTCTTGCCTTTTCTCCAGAACTCTGAAGAAGTCATATTGGACTCAAGATATTAACTCTGCTTTCTCTCTCCACAGAAGCTGCCAGACCTGCTAGGTTTCTCCAGCAATTCAACTCTGCTTTCTCTCTCCACAGAAGCTGCCAGACCTGCTGAGTTTC